GTCCAATGGCTGTATTGGATTCAATACAACACTATACTATTCGCACCGATAGACAGCCAGTTCACAGTCCTATTACTGGGCGATTGGAACCGTTTAATAGGCATTAGATATCACTATAAAATTGGTGCAATCATATGGTGTATACTAAATCTAAGCATACACTTGATATACTATTATAACTACCGGCGCCATATCGAGCCCACATTTTTACGTGTGTTCAAAATGATGGCTGGGTTATTGACACCAGCCAGTTGTGGGCTAAGTAACTCACGGGAACTCCTAATCTACATAAATATATCGAGAAAATTGTTTAAAATCTTTCGGTTTGTCATATTCAAGACTATACCTCCGATGGGATTGATATGTTTTATACCGTACCTGATCACCAGTCCATTTATATACACCGTATTGTTAGGCATACCTAACAGTCTGTTCCTATCGCTGGTGGCCTACCAGTCCTTCGGTATATGTCTGTGGCATTTGAACTACTTTTATCTTATGTGCTATTATTTAAAACTCAAAATACATTCACTGAACGACAGTCTCCGGGATGTCGTGTCTATGAGACAGTCGTTTGAATTGCTCCACAAATACGACAATTTGTATCATGAGATCAGCGAATATAACACCAAATTCTGGTCCAAATTTTTGCTGTCGTGTTGGCTATTATTAGGGTCAGTCATAATGTTGGGCGCATTTATCATATTATTCTTGTCGTTTGAATTGCTGTCTAAACTGATCCTGGTGTATATGATCAGTATAATGGCTGTGGTGTTTTCGATACTTATTATCATAGCCTCGTCGGTACACTCCGAGGTTAATAAGTCTTATAAATTGTTGAATCATTATTTTATAACACGTTATAACACTGGTCATACTGAATACGAACTGAAACTTACCGTGAAACTTAAGGTAAATCATATTTTTATTTTATATAAGCTTAACTTTTAAAAATATTTAGAAATGATTTTTATTATTAAAGAATGTTCATTTAAAATAATATTATATGAATATAAATAAAATTATTCATTATAAATATAATTGTTTATAATTTATTTGAAAACTTTTTAACAGTTATTAAGTCTCATTGAACGCAATGGTAAGCGTATGGTTGGGTTCTCGTGTTGGCGGCTGTTTATGATTAACTACTTCCGGTGCTATGAGGTATTCAATTGAGTTCATATTTAACTAGATAATTTTATTATTAATTAAAGAATATGATTTATTTTAATAGATTATTGCACTCATGGTTCTTTTATTTTTAAAAATGATTGAAATGTATTTTTATAAAAATATCCATTTTGCATAATTAGTTCATTGTTATATTTATATTTTATATTATTTTCATAATTAATATATTAATAAAATTAAATTTATATTTATTATACAATTTTAACAAGCATCCGTTAGATGGTGAACGTATCTATGTCATTCTTTAAAAGTAATATTTACACTTATTTACTTATAAATAATGTTTGTGTTAATGTTAGTAATAAAGATAATTTTTACTTAAACTTATTTTTAAAATTATACTCTTAAAACTTTTGTCAAGTAATTTTATTATTTTTGTATTTTAGTGCATGTACTATATGTATTTATAATATTAAATATTAGAAATTATTATTTAATATTAATAGTATTAATTACTGTATATCATTAAATATTATATTTAAATAGACGATATTACAATTAAATGATTTAAATTTATTTTATTTTTTAAATTTTTCCAAATAAAACCTGTACATTTTGTATTAGGTCAATGGGTACAGTACGCTGTAATTACAAAACAATTAAATACCAGGATCGGTATTCATAGACTAATTCTGAGACACATATACAGTATTAAAATAAAATTTTGATGATACTAATGTCTTTGGCATTGAAATTCTGTTAATGACTTTTAATATTACTTATACAACACAATTGGTGTAAAACATGCAATATTTAATTGTANTTACATTTGTAAATCATATTAATATATTAGATATAGTTTAGTTAAATTATTATTTACTATATTATTTTTAAATATACTTATCATTATGATTTTTAAATTGTTAATAATTGATAGGATATTTATTATTCATTTTTAGAAAATTATTAACTAGATTTTTACTTATATAAATTATATACCAAATAAATACAGTATTAAACAAACTATATTATCATTAAAAATAAAAAATCATTTTATCAATATTTTAATGATACTCTGATATTATTTTGAACCTTGAATTTATTTTATTAGACTTTGAACAAAAATATATGGATATGATAAGATTACCTATATTGTTTTATAATATTAACTCTTAAATATTATAAGTTTATTATATAATTAATTATAAAACAATATGAATTAAATGTTATAGTTATACTATTATTTTATAATAATTGTCTGTTTGTATTAATATGTACTTTAATTGAGTTAAATATGATACTGAAGTTTTTATAACTTGTTTAATACACTTTATACACCGCTGTGACGTTAACCATAACAAGTTTTGTAATTGATTTAATTATATGTTTATTTATTAATTAAATAAATATTAATAATTTATCTAGGCAGAAACTTTGGTGCATTTACATGCGAGTCATGTCGTATGTTCTTTATTAGATACAGACATTCAAACAAGGTAACATTTATTTTAATTATTTATATGTTTATTTATTAATACAGATCTGTATAAATCAAAATATCATAGTACTGTACATATTTAATTAAAATAATTAATTTAAAAATATTTCTGAAAGTTTACAGTAAACCCGCCGTTTACACAGTATTGAGGATATTGCTCTTTCAAAACGGTTTTCACAGCTGAGCTGTTTACGCTACTGTAACCGTACTTAGCCCATTAGTTTGTCAAGTAAAATGTGCATGTATCATTTAATTTTATTTAACAATTTATTAGGAGTATCGACGTGTTAATGTAAAAACTCAGAACTACAAAGGTCATAGTAATTTAGCAGCTACATTTCAATCAAAAAACTTTCCTGAAAATAATAACAAGGACGTTTTAAATAATACCGAAAATATGCAACAATTAATTCCTGTGTCTATCACTGAACCCCTGAGTTATAATTTTGATTTCAACACAATTCAATACAAAGTATTCAGTGAATTAGTTAACGCTACAAATATCATCAAGGTACCCAAATGCAAAATAATAACTTCCGAAATACAGTGTCTAACGGAAGCGAGCCGTTTGATGACCTGGTCGTTGGAACAGGAGATCAAGAAATTACTAGTTTTTTGTAAACATTTACCACAATTTAAAAGCTTGTGCGACCATGATCAATTAGCGTTGTTCAAGTACGGGTGCGTTGAAGTAATTAATATGCGTGCGGTCGTGTTTTTTAATCAACAGGGCAATTACTGGAATTTATTTATGGTATGATAGTTTAATATACTGTACTGTATTGTATAATGTAAATATAACATCTCAATTTAATTATAGGAAAATAATTGGTCAGTTAAACTTAAACTAGATTTACTTAAAAGTTGTTCACCCGGTATATATGAGGCTCACCAAATATACACACGAAATATATGCCGCGAATGGGATGATGATATATTTATCATTGACCTGGTAATTATTATATAATCACGAATTTTATAATATAAATTAGATAATGTACTCTATACTTACCTTAATAACTAATTAAATAATTATAATTTAAAATAGTTGACTGGTGTAATATTGTTCAACGCGAATCGTCCACACATTATACATAAGAGTACAATCAAGTGAGCTTGATACAATTAATGTAAATTATTTTTACAATCAATGTCAATGCCTTGTTTATAGACTCCAACAATACGTTTACATGAATTTATTGAAACATTATTTGACAGCAAAATATGGCACCGAATCTGTGGTAAAACACAAGTTTCAAAGACTGACCCGTTTTTTGATGAATTTTCACGTGTTGTCCGAAAATCAACGACTAGTGAAGTCGTGCGGTGACGCCCAGACTGCCAGTCCCCTTATCAGCGAAATATTTGATATGAAACCACAGATTTGTTGTCCTATGAAATACTATTACTATTGATACTACTAATACTGATACTATTAATTTAAATTAATACAATTTTTATTTTTTTATTTTTATGAACATGTTTTATGCAATAATTTTAATTTTTTAGTTTATGAACATGTTTTAATTATTTAATGAATAAATTAAAGTTTTATAAAATTATAACAATTTGGTAAATGAAAAATAAATTCCATAATATTTTGATTATTATAAGTTATAATTTATAACTTAATCATAATAAAAATATTATTAACATTTTACTTTTTGAAATAACTTATAACATTGTATTTTAAGACGATACTTTTTAAACTAATATCAGGTTCAGTTACAAAATAATCACTAATTTGTAGACTATTTAATATCTTATATGATTTATTCGCTTCTGACTGTACGGACGATGCCGTGAATATAATGGTGAGGAACAGTAGCACAATCACCACCACTATGTATATGAGCACCAGGTGTTGGATCAACGGAAAGGCTACAAACGAGACGATAAATATTCCCAACACTACTACTGAACCCAATGATAAGATTACCCATATTGTTTTATAATATTAACTCTTATATATTATAAGTTTATTATATAATTGATTATAAAACAATATGAATTAAATGTTATAGTTATACTATTATTTTATAATAATTGTCTGTTTGTATTAATATCATGAAATTAACTCAATTTATACTATGACTTCAAAAATATTGAACAAATTATGTGAAATATGTGGCGACACTGCAATTGGTATTGTTCAAAACATTAACTAAATTAATATACAAATAATATTAATTAAATAAATATTAATAATTTATCTAGGCAGAAACTTTGGTGCATTTACATGCGAGTCATGTCGTATGTTCTTTATTAGATACAGACATTCAAACAAGGTAACATTTATTTTAATTATTTATATGTTTATTTATTAATACAGATCTGTATAAATCAAAATATCATAGTACTGTACATATTTAATTAAAATAATTAATTTAAAAAATAAAGACTTTCAAATGTCATTTGGGCGGCAAATGTGTCATAACTCCTATAACGAGAAAGTTTTGCCAAAAGTGTCGACTCGACAAATGCGATGACATTGGCATGAATCGGGTAATCAAACAGTTCACAAATGTGCATGTATAATTTACGTAATTTTATTTAACAATTTATTAGGAGTATCGACGTGTTAATGTAAAAACTCAAAACAACAAAAGTCATAGTAATTTAGAAACTACATTTCAATCAAACAGCTTTCCTGAAAATATTAACAAGGACGTTTTAAATAATACCGAAAATATGCAACAATTAATTCCTGTGTCTATCGCTGAACCCCTGAGTTATAATTTTGATTTCAACACAATTCAATACAAAGTATTCAGAGAATTAGTTAACGCTACAAATATCATCAAGGTACCCAAATGCAAAATAATAACTTCCGAAATACAGTGTCTATCGGAAGCGAGCCGTTTGACGACCTGGTCGTTGGAACAGCAGATCAAGAAATTACTGGTTTTTTGTAACCATTTACCACAATTTAAAAGCTTGTGCGACCATGATCAATTAGCGTTGTTCAAGTACGGGTGCGTCGAAGTACTTAATATGCGCGCCGTCGTGTTTTTTAATCAAGAGGGCAATTACTGGAATTTATTTACGGTATGATAGTTTAATATAAATGTGCTGTATAATGTAAATATAATATATCAATGATTATGTGCTGTTTAATTACAGGGAAATAATGGGTCAGTTAAACTTAAACTAGATTTATTTAAAACTTGTTCACCCGGTGTATATGAGGCTCATCAAATATACGCACGAAATATATGCCGCGAATGGGATGATGATATATTTATCATTGACCTGGTAATTATAATAACAAATTTTATAATATAAATTAAATAATGTATTCTAAACTTACCTTAATAACTAATTAAATCATTATAATTAAAATAGTTGACAGCTGTAATGTTGTTCAACGCGAATCGTCCACACATTATACATAAGAGTACAATCAGGTGAGCTTGATACAATTAATGTAAATAATTTTTTACAATCAATGTCAACGCCTTTTTTACAGACTCCAACAATACGTTTACATGAATTTATTGAAACAGTATTTGACAGCAAAATATGGCACAGAATTGGTGGTAAAACACAAGTTTCAAAGACTGACCCGTTTTTTGATTAATTTTCACGTGTTGTCCGAAAATCAACGACTAGTGAAGTCGTGCGGTGACGCCCAGACCGCCAGTCCCCTTACCAGTGAAATATTTGATATGAAACCATAGATTTGTTGCCCAATGAAATACGTTACTGATACTATTAATTTAAATTAATACAATTTTTATTTTAAATTTTTATGTATTTATAATCATTTTATTTTATTTTAAGCATAGTTATATAATTATTATATATTATAAATGAATATTAGTTTTTAAAATTAGACTAAAGATTTACATTATAATGGTTAACAATATTATGATTAAATCAAGTATTATAAATAATTAAATTTGTATGTAATAATTTTAATTTTTTAGTTTATGAACATGTTTTAATTATTTAATAAATGTATTAAAGTTTTATAAGATTATAACAAATTGGTAAATGAATAATAAATTCCATAATATTTTTTATTATTATAACTTAATCATAATAAAAATAATATTAACATTTTATTTTTTGAAATCACTTATAACATTGTATTTTAAGACCATACTTTTTAAACTAATATCAGGTTCAGTTACAAAATAATCACTAATTTGTAGACTATTTAATATCTTATATGATTTATTCGCTTCTGACTGTACGGACGATGCCGTGAATATAATGGTGAGGAACAGTAGCACAATCACCACCACTATGTATATGAGCACCAGGTGTTGGATCAACGGAAAGGCTACAAACGAGACGATAAATATTGCCAACACTACTACTGAACCCAATAGTAGCCAAACAGCGAATAAATATTTTGAACAAAAAGTAGTGTTGTATTCATTGATCTCATTATATAATGCATTGAATTTTTCTAATTTTCTAATTGATGGTTCATTTAATTGTCTTTCCATTAATAAAGATTTATTTAATAATTTAATTTTCAATTTAATATAATAGCATAATATGTAGAAATAATTTAATTGCCATAATGCTATGCCATAGTTATAGTAACCAACAGCCCCTACGAATAATGTATTAGGTATGCCATACAGTAGTGCCGGTACTGTAGGAAGGTATACCAGGTATGGTATAAGGCATATAAGTCCCATCCATGGGGTGGTCTTATTGACAGTAAATTTGGTTATTTTAAACAAAACTCTAGATCTCTTCAACAATTTTTGAACACTTATTGGATCCGTCAGACCAATACTCTGTGGGGTAACCAAACCGGACATCATATCAAACAGTGGCAGAAATGTTGGCTCAACATCGCACCGATAGTTATAAAAATAGATGACATGTATGGACACATGTAGTGCCGACCAAATAGCGGCCACTACTTTGAAATGTAATCCAATGCCTACTAATGGACTCCAATCGCCAAACATTATATGCAATGCATTGTAATTGTCGGGTATTAACAGTAATACAGTGTTTGATATGAGATATCCTAACGGAAACATAAACGACACAAAAGGTTGAGACAATAGTCTACGTCTGGAGCCATTAATCCGTGGTTTAAGACTTAATCCAATTAAATATAAATAATTTTCTTTTGATTCATTTATTCTGAATTGTCCTGGCAATTCTCGATTGCAGTCAATAAAATCCATATAAAATTTTAAAAACAGATTTCAGACTTTCTAACTTTTATGAAAACAGGATAATATGAAATTCATAAAGTATTTATATTTTATTAACACTTATTATAGATTAATTTTATTTTAATAAAATTTTTCAATGCCCTTAATTTGATACAGTTTCATTTATTTGTACTTACTATATATTCCTGCGATCGCCACTAGCCGGTGTGTGAGACGGTGTCTCTAGGATTGCCAGCTATCCTTGCGAATAGCGGAATTCTCCCTGAATATACTGATTAACATAGAATCAAACAGAAATGAATTCATTTAACTATTAAAACTACTTAAATAGCTTTGACTTGCATTTATTTTTATTTTA